TGTTAAAGGGATTCTCTCACCAAGCATTGGGAAAAGGAAACAAGGAAGGGGCAACAATCAACTGTTTATGTTATGGTGTGACTATAATACCCGGCTTTGGAATGGCATTGTATTTTTTAAAGCATTTTTGTAAGTGTCATTTTATCATGATGCCATGTAAAGACCATGGCAAAGACCTAGGTTTAAATATAGGTTCTGTTAGGTAATCTTGGATAAGCCATTTGGAATCTCAGTTTCTCCCATGGAAAGAAAGATGGAATGTACTAACCCCCACCCCCCCCCCCATATAGAATGTTTTGGATATTAACTGAAGTGATGAATACAATGTACTTGATATAAAAGAAGTCTCAAATATCACAGCCATTACCATGGCTGTGGGCATCCCACCATATCTTTCTCAAAGAAACTCAGGCAGGGAGGTAGAAGTAGGACCACTATCCTCTTTTTACAAGGGAGGAATTTCAAATGCAGGGAGTTTGTGACTTGGCTGTGGTCGTGATGCTTGTTAGATGTAAAACAGCCCAGAAGTAGTACTCCTGATCTTTCTCCCAGGATCAAGCCAAAGAGAGTGGTGAGAGAGGAAGCCAGGAGATATGGAATGAATTAAGGAAGTTGAGACACTAGAAAAGCAAGGAAGAACTTTTTTAAAAGGAAAAAACATCTGAGCATTCTGCATGCACAGAGACATCCAAAATGTGGAGGGGTGAAAAAGAGAGATGCAGAAGTAAAGACACTGATACATACACACAGCTGGAAAGAGAGAGCACAGAGAAGACCTAGAACCAAAAACAATAGAAATGATATTTCATTGGACACAACATACAGTTGCACACGTTGTGCACTGGACAATTCCAAGAAATTCCATTTTCACAGAAGTCATGATGTAACTAAAACCCCAAGAGATATGCAAACCTGCAGGCCTACCCCAAGACCCTTGGGCCCCACAGTGCCCATGGGAAAGAGCTTATCGATAAGGGAGAGTTGAACTTTAAGACTGTCAGGAAATGATTACATTGCCTTCTAACCCTGCTGGGTGAAAGAGTAAAAGGACGACAAGAAAAGTCCCGGAAGGAGAGATAATGCCAACTAACAGTCCCTTACTTACATGACTATGCACTCTGAGAGGGCCATCAGCCCGAGGAGCACAAGCCACTTCATGGTTCTTTCCTGGGTCCAAGCACTCAGGAAAGATCAAGTTTTGAGCTTGCAGTGGTGCTGAAGATTACCTAGTTATATATTCTCTAATCTGCTCTAATACTCTGCTTTAAGCCACTATGGTCTGATGAGAAATACGTCCTCTTGATAAAATCTTTGCCTCCATCAGTATCTGTGGGGAGTAGACTTGGAAAATTCTCATAATACAGAGAATTCTACTATAATCATTTCTTTGGGGCTTGGCTGAAAGCCAAACTGAACTGTACAGCCTATCTAAGCATAGGGAGACTCTTTCCAACTTGGAGAGAAAAACAGCTAATAATATGATGAAAGTAGATGGTGGGGGCCATGCTAGACATTCCTAATCTCATGTGGTCTTCCTAGACACGTCACAAGATGTGCATTGCTGTCCTCCATTGGAGAGGAGATGGCTAGGAGGAAAAGACAGCAAAAATAAAGTGAAGACTTCAAGTGCAATCTACTGACATTTGAGCGGCTTTAGGTAGTGGGACAGATGGTACAGATCAGAGGTCTCTATGATGTCAACCTGCATCAAAGATCTAGGCTAGAGCAGTATTATAATTGCACACTTTCAATACTGGAAGAAATGTGATGCTGTTAGGGAAGTTAAATTGGGGAGGTAGTCTTGTCTAAGTTTCAGAAGAAGTGGAGCTGCCTCTGACAGATCTAACTTTGCCTGAATCAGGCCTGGATTACATGCCTACTTGCAGGTACTCAAATTGCTACCAGTATGTCAAGTAGAATCTTACATAAGAGAAGCAATTTCCTGGAATTTCCTGAGACCCTGGAGGCCTGGCCAGCCTCCCAGGGTCTGGAAAGCCTGAACTCACAAGGTGAAACAGTGCTGTAAAAGTTGAAAGAAAACCAGGGTTGCATTATTGCATACCACCTGGTGATAATATCAGTTTGCAGGCTGAAATTATAAGCTGGACCCCAAAAACTGCAGTCTGAAGTCTTACTCATGGGGTGGACCCTTTACCAACTGGGACCCCAGATTGTTGTCCTTTGGGTCTTCCAAGTGCTATTCAGGTCTGGATCAGGTTTTTGGCCCAGTTCAGTGATGTGCATACTATTACTTCTCTCTATTGTTTCTATTTCTTTTCTTTTGAAGACTGTATATCAAAACAAGTCAAATAATTTTCTATAACAAGTTAAAACTGTTTATTTGTGTGTAACAACTGATTTCTTTTGTTGCTAGATTCTATCAACCTAAAATGGAAGAAAACTTTTGGGAAAACAGCAATTGATGCTATGATCAGGATTCATGAAACCAAATGCCACTCTTTAAACAGAAAGAGGATAAGACTAATCAAGTTGTTATTCCCAGAGAGGAAGTCTTGCTTTAATGCTTGTTAGCTACTGAATGGTGTATACCCACTGAATTGCCTGAGAATTGGGACCCCAAATTAATGCAGGCTGAACCTTTAGAAGTTATTGAATGTCTAACAAAGTTAGATCCTGCCAACTGAGAAAGAAAAAGAGTGTACCTTATTGGTTTGCAGAGGCTGGATTCTCCACTCTGCCTCCCATAAGGTGCATGAATCCAAATTAAAATTGGTTGAAGAGAAGTCAAAATTAGAAAAAGAATTAAACAAGTTGCAAAGACGATTTTTCATGTTACAAAAGTGAAATTATATTTTAGCTAGCCAAGTCTCCACTTTTCAGATGATAACTGAAATAGCCACTGCAAAGTTTGCACAAACTAAATATCAAAAGTGCCTCAGTAAGGTAAACAAAAAGAAACTCCATCTGTCAATAGCCAAAGTGGAAGTTGAGGGGAGATACCAGGATGATTGTGATGGGAGATTAATCCATCCAAAAATCAGGGACCTGTCCAAACTGTAAAGTATTAGGGAATACAATGGGCTAAAGGACATAGAGAGATTCTACCTAAGGTTAAACAAAAGATAATGGAATTTCAAAATCCCAGGAAAAAAAGGGAGGCTTAAATTTTTTTAGGGCTATTTGGTTTCTGGCAAGAGCATATTATACACTTGACTCAAATATTGAGTCCACTGTACAAAGTAATTAGGAAAAAAAAGGTATGAATTTCATTGGGCTGACAATCAAGAATAGGCTTTCAATGTTGCTAATAGTGCAATACACCCTGCTTTAGATTTATGGCCAGTACCACCTGGTGACACTGAATTACATTTGTCTCCAAGTGAATTGTATGTTAATTGGAGCTTCTGGCAATAACTGCAAGGGAAAGAGTGCCTTTGGGCTTCTGAAGTAGAAAATTTCCAGAGGACAGGAAAATTTACTATTACGGTGACTCAGCGGCAAACACCCTAAAAGATGATGCTGTTAAACTGCTGCACTCAATATGCCAGCAACTTTGGAAAACTCAGCAGTGGCCACAGGAGCAGGAAAGGTCAGTTTTCATTCCAATCCCAAAGAAGGGCAATGCCAAAGAATATTCAATCTATTGTACAGTTGCTCTCATTTCACATGCTAGTAAGGAAATGCTCAAAATCCTTCATGCTAGGCTTCAGTAGTATGTGAATCAAGAACTTCCAGATGTACAAGCTGGGTTTAGAAAAGGCAGAGGATCAGAGATCAAACATTCACTGGATCATAAAGAAAGCAAGGTAATTACAGAAAAACATGTACTTCTGCTTCATTAACTACGCTAAAGCCTTTGGCTGTGGATCACAACAAACTGTGGAAATACCAGCGTACCTTACCTGTCTCTTGCAAAACCTGTATGTGGGTCAAAAAGCAACAGTTCCTTACATGGAACTACTGACTGGTTCAAAACTGGGAAAGGAGTCAACAAGACTGCATATTGTCACTGTGCTTATTTAATTTATATGCAGAGTGAAAGTGAAAGTGTTTGTCCCTTAGTCATGTCCAACTCTTTGCTACCCCATGGACTGTAGCCCACTAGGCTCCTCTGTCCATGATTTTTCAGGCAAGAATACTATAGTGGGTANAACAGCTGACTCACTGGAAAGACCCTGATGCTGGGAAAGATTGAAGGCAGGAGAAGGGGATGACAGAGGATGAGATAGTTGGGTGGCATCACCGACTCGATAGACATGAGTTTAAACAAACTCCAGGAGCTGGTGAAGAACAGGGAAGCCTGGAGTGCTGCAGTCCATAAGGTCACAAAGAGTTGGACATGACTGAGTGACTGAACTACAGCAAGCAGTAAAAAAGTCTGCCTTCAACACAGGAGATATATGAGTCGGGCTCCTCTCACGTGTGGTTCAGACTTGATCTTAGGCCCTGTCTGGCTATGGCGCACTGCCACCCCGACCCAAAGAGAGGCCCCATTCATACCAGCACCACTGAGACGAAATCTTTATTCTTTTTTTTTTAATAATTTTATTTATTTACTTAGTTTATTTTTGACTGTGCTGGGTATTCTCTGCTGTTCAGGCTTCTGTTTTCTCTAACTCTGGCTAGTAGGAGCTACTCTCTAGTTGCGGTGTGTGCACTTCTCACTGTGGTGGCTTCTCTTGTTGCAGGGCAGGTGCTAGGGCACCTTCGGGCCTCAGTGGCTGTGGCATGTGGGCGCAGTGATTGTGGCTCCCAGACTCAGGCTCCCAGAACAGACTCAGTGGGTGTGGTGCAGGGGAATGGTTGCTCCACAGCACATGGGAAATTCTCACATCAGGGATTGAACCCCTGTCTTCCACGCGGGCAAGCAGATTCCCTACCACTGAGCCATCAAGGAAATCCCGAGATCCTTTATTCTTTCCTAAGACTAGGGCTTTGCAGAGCACCAAGCACAGCTCACCAGCATCCCGGGGCCAGAGTGCCCTACGTGTGAGTGTGCGTGTGGTGTGAGCCTGCTTGATTCCTGTAGCAGCCTGGATTTACACTGCAGGAGCCAGGCCAATCCTGTACTTTTCCCGATCATAAACTGAGATGTACAGCCTCAGGAAGACGTTACCCAGGACCCAGGTCTCTGCCTCGTTCTCATGCTGTTTGCCATTCCGAAAGGTGCTGTAGCAGAGGCCCTCAGAATTCTGGGGGACAGGGAAATGCACACCAGTCAGTCTGAGCCCCTACCTGCCTCCCCCAGTCAAGATCCAGAGCTGGAGGCTTCTTGGATTCATATCCCTCCTTTGATAAGAATCAAGTGGGTCTCTTAGCCGCTGCATGTGTTGGGGTTCACCCAAGAACAAGAAAGGCCAAGACCTATGGTTTCTATGAAGCTTGGGGGTGAGGGAGGGGAGAATTGGGCGTTTGAGATTATCGAATGCAAACTGATATAGGGAGGATGGATAAACAACCAAGTCCTGCTGTATAGCACAGGGAACTATATTCAATATCCCATGAGAAACTATAATGGAAAAAATATAAAAAATACATAAGTGTATATCTGTAACCACCTCTTTGCCATACAGCAGAATTTAACACATTGTAAATGAACAATACTTCAATGAATTAAAAAAAAAGAATAATAATGGCCCAAAGTTCCCTCACACTCTGCTGTTCCTTTCCTTCTGACCTCAGCTGACTCTTTTCTCTGCAGAGAATGCCTTTTCTTCTCCCTGTTCCCCACAACCCTTGTCTTTAAGACTTCACTCAGGCTCTCTAGGAAGTCTTCTTGGACATACCCTCACCCTCCCTGACCACTCCAGGCTGGGTTGAGTGATTTACCCTGATGCTCCCCAAGTCTGTAGCCCTCATCACCACTAATCTGCCCCCGGTGCCCCTTTACACAGGCCCAGGGGGTGCCATTTGCATGGAATCCGGTATAGATTTGCACCAACCCAAGCAGGCTTCCTCATTCCTCCATGAAGCTGAGGGTTTAGAATTACTGAAGCTTCCTTTCTTCCTCAAAGCCTCCTTTGAGCCCATCAGCCTGCTCTGAACTCCCACAGGGAGATGACATGAAGCCTCCACCCTGTGCCGGAGCTGAGCAGTCACTGTGTAGCCTATATTCACCTTAACAACCCACCTCCCCACAGAGGGGCTGGTACCCCAACTCACCAAGGGGGCACTGAAGCTTAGCAAGGGGAAGTTGCACCTGAGGACTAGGGTTACCATGTAATATATCATCCCAACCTGGACACTTTCAAGATGGGAAGGGAAACTATTAACCCCTATGGTGGCACAGCACACTGGGACTGTCCCCAGCCAATCTTCTTGTTACTTGGTATATTTCAGGGATTGCTAGAGCTAACTTTCTGTGTTCGTGCATCTGAGGTCTCTGGTTGAACTGAAACTGAGGCCCTTAGTGTTCCCCTCTCCTTGTGACTCCCACCAGGACAGCACGGAGTGGTGTCTCCACATTTATTTCAGGAGGATGGATGTCCCAGACTGCCTTTCACTCTCAAGTGGTTGGTTTTGTGGGAGGCACTGGCCCAGCCACCGGGGCTCGGCAGCATCTGCAATGGTTTGACTTGGCCTGCAGAGGGCGCATCTTCTCAGCCACAGCCCAAGAGTTCCTGCAAGTCCCAGATTTGAGAACTAGCTCTCAGGATTGACCCCTCACCTCATGAATGTAGGCTTGAGCGGGCACTGGGTAGTCGATGCCCTTGATGGTGAAGATGAGAGGAGGCAGGGTGCTGGTGGTGTTACATGGAACCGTGTACTGTTAGAGAAAGAGGGAGAGAGGTCAGCTCAGCTGATCCTTGTTGTTTGGGGAGCCTGGGGGCAACCCTGTGGTATGACCCTTCACCTGCAGACTTTCAAAGGGCCTGAAGCGGATAAGCCTGTGGATTTTGGAGATGCGTCTACTTGGGTCGAGCAGGAATGTAGTCCCAGTATCGAAAATAGCCTGGCAGCCGTGTTTACAAACAATTACCTTCCTGTTTATGGAGATGCTGAGAGAAAGTGGGACAAAGCGGACACCACAGTTACTCTGAACTCTCCCCCACGACTGCCCCCTCCCTGACCGTCTCCTGAACAGCCCTTCAGCTCTTGCCCTTGGCTGTTTTCCTTTGCTCTGGTCATGTCTCCTACTTTGACTTCCTTCCAGTTCTTGAATGCACCAGTCTCTTTCAGGTCTCAGGGCTTTGGCACCTGTTGGTTGCCCTTCCTAGAAGACCCCCAACCCATTTGTCTAGCTAATTTCTCCACATCTTCCAGGTTCCTTCTTAATTGTCACTTTGTCAGGAAAGTCTTCACTCTAGACTAGATCAGGCCCCTGTCCTGCTCAGTCTCTGTAGACACTGCCTCGTGTCTAGCATGTACCAAAGCGGTAATTCACTCTGTGTGTGACTCGTTTCATGTGCATCTGCCTCACTAGATGTGAGGGCAAGTTGTATTCTCAGTGCCTCCCCCAAGTGCCCAGCACACAAGGGATGCAAGTGTATGTTTGTTGAATGAATGAATAAAGAACACCCAGAGACCTATATCTGGTGTCTGACCAATCAACAATGGGTCAACCCACACGTGAAGATGGAGGTTCCCTGGGGCCCCAGATTTTTGGAGTGGTGGTGGGGGAGACACAAGCTGCCATGGGAGAGGATGTCTTCCGGCACCAGCCCCTCATCCGGCTCAGACATTAAGGCCCCAGCCAGGGGATGCTCAACTAACCCAGAGGGCTCCAAAGGACAGGAAAGCTTTTGTCTGAGGGTATCACACAGAATGCCATCAATTACTGCCCCTTGTTCTCAGGCCACTCCTGGATCCCAGCTCCCTGATTCTCTCTGAAACAACCCCTGCCCCACTGTGTGTCCTAGAAAGTAGGTAGGTATCTATGGATAGAGGGAGTGTCTCTTTGTAAGAGATGCTCTCAGGTCTCAAGACTGCAGCCAACCTCTCTCCACTGCTAGGTAGCTTCTGTCCATGCAGACAAGTTTTCCCTGTTTGTCCAGGACTTTCCCTATTTTTAAACTTGCAGTCCTGTGTATTAAGAACCTTCTCGATCCCGGGCAGCCCCAGACGGTTGGTTATCTGAACATAACCCTGTTCAGGCTGGTGAAATTCTCCCTGATCCTCTTTTCAACACACAGTCAGGTCCTCTAACCATGCTGCCCACCTCACAGTGAGGTGGGTGCAGCCTTTCCCAAGCTGCACAGGCCTCTCTGGACCCTTTCAGGACCCTGGCCACAGGGCCGGTCAGGAGGCCTAGGGTGATTATGGTCCCTTGGGTGGTGTGTGTATGTCTTCCTGTGTGTGTGCCTGTGTGTCTCTGTGCTTGAGTCTGGCCACGTGTGTGTATATCTGTGTGCCTGTGCATGTTTACATGTGTGTCTGGGAGGGTGTTTCTGTGTGTCCTGTGTGTGTTTATGTGTGTGTCTTTGTGGGTGGACATGTCTGTGTGTGAGACTGTGTGTCTGTGTTAGGTCAGTGTGTGTCTACATGTGTCAGTGCACATGTGTGGGAGCATTACTAGAGAGGCCCTCGGAGGGTGAGGCTTACCGGCCCATGGTTATCTGCCAGTAGTGGGTTCGGGACACTGGTATCCAGTTGAGCTTTCCCGTGTGGAAGGAGTGGTCCACCCCACCAAACACACCACACTGCCATTCTCCCTCCGGCTGTTGAGAGAAGTGAGAGAGGGGCTCGTTGGAGGAGAGTAACACCAGCGCAGTCTGAGGGCTGCGCTCCTCCACCCATCAGAGGCACCACAACGGTCCCCATTTTACAGATGTGGAGATTGAGGAACTGAGGGGTTGAGTACCTGACCCAGGTCTGTCACCCTCTAATCAGTGCCACAGAAGTGTGAAGCCTGGCCTGGCTCTGACCACCCAACCTTCTGAAGAGGCCTGATCCCCTCCCACAACCTGAGAGCTCAGAGATCCCCTCAGAGTACTCCATGCTAGAGGAGTCTGGCATCCACCTTGCCTAGCCTTTCATTTTTCAAAACTTCCAGGCCCAAGGGCACTTAGGGCGTGGATCCAGGGTCACCCAGGTTTGGCGTCACTGGCCTATGACCTGTGCCAACCACGAAGTCCCACACTCCGCAGGCCCCAAGCTCTGTTACCCTCTCTTGAAATTCCTAACACTTGTTGAACAAGGGATCATGCATTTGCATTTTCGACTGGCTCCAGCAAACTGTGTAGCTGGTCCTGGGCTCCTGGTGCAATGTTAGTGAGAAAGGAAATATTCCCACCATTCCTCTCCTTCTTTCCATATCAAATCCACAGCAAATCCGGATGCCCTTCTTCCAACCCATACCCTGACACCTTCCATTGCTCTCCCCCTTTACCCTACCGCTGAAGCAAGCCATTGCCCTCAAGAGTTCTATAATTTTTCATGCAAGTTAAAGCATGTTTCAGCTGATTTGAAGAGGGTGTTTGTCATCTCAGACTTACCAGCTCAAGTAGAAGGCAAAGAGAGGGTAAGGAATAAGTCCAAGTTTCTTCAGGTTGTCAAAGAGTGGAGTGGTTCCTTGGATGGCAAGGCTGGGGAAGCCCAGGCCCAGGATGCCATCAAAAGGTGCATTTTGAAAAAAATGTTTGGATTGCTTCTGGCTCAGGGCAAAGGTCTGGTTGAAGTGGAGAAGGTTCCCAATCTGTGGGAGCAGAGAGTAACTTTAATGCTCAGTCACGTCTGACTCTTTGTGACCCCATGGACTATATGGTCCATGGAATTCTCCAGGCCAGAATCCTGGAGTGGGTAGCCTTTCCCTTCTCCAGGGGATCTTCCCAACCCAGGGATCGAACCCAGGTCTCCCACATTTCAGGTGAATTCTTTATCAACTGAGTCACAAGGGAAGCCTGGGAGACGAGAGTGTTCCCACATAAAGGACCTGAGGCCTGGCTGTGCCCTGCGTTGGCCTCAAAGAGTTAGATCAAGCTGGGAGAGGAATTCGGGTTCCATTTGTGTGGGGCTGTGGATTTTAACAACACCTGCTTCCCCATTGGCCTCATGCCTTCTGTATAGGTGGGGCAACCAAGACTCAGGACAGGACAGAATGGTTCCCCCTTGTGGACAAAATGAGTAGAAAGCAGGGTAGTCTTCTCTTCAGTATTACTATGATCTGAGGACAGAAACAGACTGAAATTCATTGCAGTGTATTATGATTCTGCATCTGCCCCGAAGACAGAAGCCCATTATACAATGTCACTGGCAGGGTTCTTATGAGAATTCTGCCGGGAAACTAACTTTTGGGGATATATGTGCACACATGTGTGTTGGGGGGAGGGCGTTGGGGAGTGTGGAATACTCAGACATTTTGGGGAAGGCACGCCATAGTTTTTATTAGACTCTCAAAGACCCTCGAGAGTGAGAACCCATTTATCAGGCCCCTCCCACATCTGTGGCCTCCTGCTTTCCCTGTCTGGATACCTGAAGCTCTGGGCTCCCTCCAGGGTCCCAAGCAGTTTTATCCTCTCCCCAAATACCCCACATCTGCCTGAGTCCTGACTAGCCAGCCCAGCTCACCTGCTTAGCACGTGTGTGACCTTGGCAAGGCCTTTGTTCTCTGCACTTCAGTTCCCTCATCTATTTCATGAGTTAATCATAGTACCTGCTGTGTAGGGTTATTGTAGGATTAAACAAGTTTCTTGTCATTCAGTGGCTAAGTCATGTCTGACTCTTTGTGACCCCAGGAACTGCAGCACACAAAGCTTCCATGTCCTTCACTATTGCCCAGAGTTTGCTCAAACTCATGTCCTTTGAGTCAGAGATGCCATCCCACCTCTCATCTTCTGTCACCCCCTTCTCCGCTTGCCCTCAATCTTTACCAGCATCAGGGTCTTTTCCAATAAGGTGGCTCATTGCAGCAGGTGACCAGAGTATGGGACCTTCATTAACACTTTCACTTTAAACAAGTTATTACCATGAAAATGCCTAGCACAGTCTGAGGATTTAAAAGTGGGTGTTTTTTCCCCCATCTCTCTCAGCTCATACCAAAAGGAACCTTGGGCTCCTCACAGGCAAAGAAGCTGCAAATCCACATGCCAAGCCACTCTCTGGGTTAGCCATGGGGAGTTTGTGTGTCAGCAGGGGCGTTGTCTCCCCAAGGACAGAGTCCTTACAGCCATTAGGGGACTTTCAGAAGAACAGACCCTCCCAGCTGGTCCTGCATCTGTTTTGTAAGCAGCAGTTGCTCCCAGGGCCAGCAGCTGCTGGTTTCCACATTACCTGAATGACATCTTGGCCAAGGACTCCGTTTATCCTCCCAGAGGCATAGATGAGGTCGACAGGATTGTCCAGGAGCTTGAAGGTGGTAGATTTGTGAGGGTTGAAGAGACAGTGTGTCACTGCAGACACAAGAGATGATTGTCCTTCAGGTGCCAAAGACGGAGAGCAGGGTGGGAAGGCAAGCACAGGATGCGGGGTGGGGAGGGGGCACTCACAGCAGCTCGGACTGTGGCAGTGGGTGGAGGGCACCCACAGGTCAGAGGAGCCGGTGTCAAACGTAACCGTGAACCCCTGAGGGGGCGTTCCAATGGCGATGCTGCCAACCTAGATGAACTACAGGGGCCAGGAAGGGATGGTTAAGGCAGACCTGGCTGCCTGTCCACCCCCTTTCCACCCCCAATTAGAGTACTGCCTCCTGCTGGGTTTCCCAGGTCTCCTGAAATCACTTTCCAAGCACCCAACCTCACAGCCTCTACTCAGACTGGTGTCTTCATTTGAGAAGCTCTCCAGTCTCCCCTTTATGTCCAGCATGAGCCCCTCCTTCTCCTAGATCACCCCAGGCCACTGACTCTAATCTCAGACCATGTCTGATCAACAACACTCAGGTGGCCCTTTATTTAGACATGTATTTACCCTCTCCCCATCTCTCAGGATGGCCTGTGCATTCTTGAAGAAGAGGTTAGACCTTTGGCAATAACCACACTATTAGATTTTTTTTTTTTTTTTTTTAGAAATTGAAGATTTGTGGCAACCCTGCACTGTGATAGGGATTACAAGGTGACTCAAATGGTAAAGAATCAGCCTGCAATGGGGGAGACCCAGGTTTGATCCCTGGGCCAGGAAGCTCTCCTGTAGTAGGAAATGGAAACACACTCCAGTATTCTTGCCTGGAGAATTCCATGNACCATGGCAAAGACCTAGGTCTGACTACTGGTTCTGTTGTGTAATCTTGGATAAGCCATTGGACCATTTGGAGTCTCCATTTTCCTGTCAGTAAAAAGGTGGAATGTAATAATCAGTATCCCTCATATAGAATGTCTTTGGTATTAGGAGAGATGATGGATATAGTGCACCTGATATATAGGAGGTTTCAGCAATGACAGCCACTACCATTGCTGTGGTCATCCCACTGTATCTTTCTCAATGAAGCTCTGGGAGGGAGGTAAAAGGGGATTATCATCCTCTTTAAACAGGGGAGGAATTTGAAATGCAGCGAGTTGGAGACTTGACTGTGGTTACACTGTTAGAGCTAAAAGAGCAGAGAAATAGTACTACTGATCTTTCTTCTGGGCTCAAGCAGAAGAGAGGGTGAGAGAGAATGTCAGGAGACAGGGAATAAACTGGGGAAATTAAGAGGCTAGAGAAGCAAGAGAGAGTACAAATTGAAAAAGAAAAAAAAAAACTGGGAGACTTTTGCATGCACCGAGATAGCCAAAGAGATGGAGAGATAGAGAGAGATACAGTGATAAAGACACAGACCCATACACACAGAAGTGGAAAGAGAGCTGAGAGAAGATCTAGAAGCGAACGCAGGAGAAATGCAGCAGGACCACACCAACAGTTGCACAACTTGTGCACTGAACAATTCCAAGGAGTGTCATTTTCACTTAGGTCATGATGTGATTGGCACCCCTAGAGATGTGCAACCCTGCAAGCCTATTCCAAAACTTTGGGCCCTAAGGTGGTCATGGCAAGGTACTTATCAATAGGTGAAAGTTGAAGTGTAAGGCTGCCAGGGAATGATTATTTTCTCTTCTAACCCTCACAGATGGTAGAAGAGAGGAAAACAGAAAAAATCCCAGAAACATAGATGATGCCACTTATAGCCCCTGTACTTACATGACTACGCACTCTGAGAGGGCCACCAGACTGAGGAGCCCAAGTCACTTCATGCTTTTTTCCTGGGTTCAAGTACTCACAGAACAGAGGGTTCTGAGCTTGCCATGGTGACAAGAGCTCCCAGTTATATATGCTCTTATCTTCCCCAATTGTCCGCTTGAGGCCACTGATCTGGTAAGATCTGGTAAGATCTGGTAAGAAATACATACCTATTGATTAAAAGTTTACCTCTATCAGTGTCTTTTGGGAGTGGATTTAGAAAATTCTCAGAATACAGAGAATTTTACAGAGATTGTAGTCTCTTCCTTGCTGCTGCTAAGTCGCTTCAGTCGTGTCCGACTCTGTGCAACCCCACCAGGCTCCGCCGTCCCTGAGATTCTCCAGGCAAGAACACTGGAGTGGGTTGCCATTTCCTTCTCCAATGCATGAAAGTGAAAAGTGAAAGTGAAGTCACTTAGTCGTGTCTCCAAATAGGGCCCTTGTATTTTGCAGGGGGAGTATTTTTAGGGGTGGAGTGTTTTTTGTTTTTTTCTCTCACCAGCAGTTAGGGAACTGAGAATGACTTCTTTTTCTACTAACAAAACATTTCTAAAACAGAGCCATTGAATCTCATCCTGTGTCCTCCACCCTCCAGGGAGGCACTTCTTTTCCTGGTCTTCCTAGATCCTGGGGAACTCAGAGGCCTGTGTGAGAAATGAAAAACAAAACAAAAACCCAACAAAAAACAGAAACCAGGGGTGAATAAGAACTATGGCAATCACCTTTATTTTCTTAAAGCATGTGGGTCTCTCTTGCTTCCTCTCCACCCCGATATTGTACTGCTAAGTCTCAATCTCTGGCTATAAAACTGGTTTCCTTGATCCTGCTATAGTTTGATTCCATCCATTAAGACGAGGGGTTTATTTTTTCCTCTATAGTCAATGAAGGAGTCTTTTGGGCCTAGAAAAGAGAACAACAGTCTCAAAGGCCCCTTGCTGAATCATCTAACTTCGGAGAAAACAAAGCAGAACTTTAGTTCCACCCTGATGCTCCAGGCAGGTTGCATCTATCTGGGACTTATCAAGCCCTGTCCAGAAACCTTCCACCCCCTACACCTGCCCAGAAGACTTATCACCCCCATCCGGAAACCTACCACCCCCTACACCCGCCCAGAAGACTTATCACCCTCTGCCCAACTACAAATGTCATCTCAACAAAAGAATACCCAAAATATCCCCCCTGATTAACGTGTCCCTTATTGCTTCCACAAACCTCCCTGTAAGTATGAAGCCTCGCTGATCCCTCTCAGCGCTCAGCCTGGTCGTTAGGCTGACTGTCGCCCCTCCTTGCCTGAATAAAGGTAACCTGCTTCTGTTGAGGTCGTCTTTCCTTTTCTGCCTCGCCTGAACTATACCCTACATTCTTGGTGCCAAAGCCCAGGAGGGGGCTTTTCCCCGGAGTCAGGGAGCGCGGACATCCTCCAAGCTCACTTCTCTGCCAGGGCCCTTAAGTTCCCCTTGGGACGCCTAGTGCCTTCGTGAGCGGTGCAAGCCTTGTGCTAAGGCTTTACTGATGCTTTGCGTACCCCCAGGCCTCGGCTTTACCCCCTTTTCTCTCTGACGACCTCCAGAATAGGGACCTCTTGCCATTCGACCACGCTACATGCAACACTCCACTCAAGTCGGCCCCTAGATTAAGGTAAGATCTGATCCAGACAGAGTTCTAGAGGCGCCCTAGAGCTCAGTCCTCTCCGGGTCCCAGGGACCCCTGGCCCAGGGCCACTCTGTAGGCGACAGTGGGGGACGCTCCACCTTGACACAGAGCTCTCTTCTCATAACTCCTATTGCGACTATGGGTGACGACTCGAGTTCCCAATAGGAGCCTCTGCTTGCCTTTCAATTATGGGGTCTGGCCAATCTGTCCCAAAAGATTCCCCTCTGACCTGTGTTCTCAAAAATCTCAAACCACTCTCACTCACTGAACTTAAAGCTAACCGCTTAAAGCAACTCTGTACACAGATTTGGCCTCAATACCAATTAGACAATCAAGACGGCTGGCCTGAAGTCGGCACATTTGATTTTAACATTCTCCAAAATCTCACTGACTTCCTTAAATGGAATGGCAAGTGGTCAGAGATCCCCTATGCCCAAGCCTTTTGGGCCCTTCGGAGCAGGCCCTCCCTATGCCAGGCCTGCTCCACCCACGAGGTTCTTCTATGCATCTTGCCTCCCAAGCAAAAGGGCTCTTCTTCCTCAACTAACCGCAGACCGCGACCTTCCACACCCCCGGATCTCCCAGATCTGGAGAGTGGAATGTCCACANCCTTGGAAACAAACAGAGATCATTCTGTCATTTTTGAGATTGCATCCAAGTACTGCATTTTGGTCTCTTTTGTTGACTATGATGGATACTCCATTTCTTCTAAGGGATTCCTGCCCGCAGTAGTAGTAATGGTCATCTGAGTTAAATTCACTCATTCCAGTCCATCTTAGTTCACTGATTCCTAGAACGTCGATGTTCACTCTTGTCATCTCCTGTTTGACAATTTGCCTTGATGGATGGAACTAACGTTCCAGGTTCCTATGCAATATTGCTTTTTACAGCATCAAACCTTGCTTCTATCACCAGTCCCATTCAAAACTGGGTGTTGTTTTTGCTTTGGCTACATCCCTTCATTCTTTCTGGAGTTATTTCTCCACTCATCTCCAGTAGCATATTGGGCACCTACCGACGTGGGGAGTTCATCTTTCAGTGTCCTATTTTTTTGCCTTTTCGTACTGTTCATGGGGTTCTTAAGAATACTGAAGTGGTTTGCCATTCCCTTCTCCAGTGGACCACATTCTGTCAGACCTCTCCACCATGACCCGTCCATCTTGGGTGGGCCCACATGGCATGGCTTAGTTTCATTGAGTTAGACAAGGCTGTGGTCCATGTGATCAGATTAGTTAGTTGTCTGTGATTGTAGTTTCAGTCTGTCTGCCCTCTGATCCCCTCTCTCAGTGCCTACCATGTTACTTGGGTTTCACTTATCTTGGACATGGGATCTCTCTTCACGACTGCTTCAGCAAAGTGCAGCCACTGCTCCTTACCTTGGACATGGGGTAGCTTCTCTCGGCCACCTCCCCTGACCTCTAGTGCGGGGTATCTCTTCTCGGCCGCCACCAATGAAGTCAAGTAACATACAGGTGGTCCTTATCTTCAGGGCCTTAGCAGTGGAAGGCAGTTCTTACAAACTCCCGGCCCAGGAGGCAAGAGAAATGGAGGGCTGGGCAAACATCTTGGACACTGGGCAGCACATGCCTTACTACTGGGGGCAGCCTCTCAGCTCCAAGCAGAGGCTGCCTTGCTGGAAAGTGGGCTGATTGGCCCAGTTTTCAGGAGAAATCAGAATCTCAATATTTACAGAAAATCTCTGATTTTATATGTTAGCAACTAATTTTCTTTTTTCAAAAAACATAGTGAAATCTAAACTTCCAACAACTGTGTGCTTGATTCAGCCTGCAGAATGTGTGTGT